GAAACAGAGTCTTGATATGTAGTTTATGCTGGCTTTGAACTCACTGTATAGCCCAGTCAGGCCTTGAACACACAGTGATCCTCCTGCTTCAGCCTCCTGAGTGCTGGGATTACAGGTGTGCACCACCATGCCTGGCTACATGATATACAGTGGACCCTTCAGTTATGACTGGCCTGACATTTGAACAACTTGGGTTGCAACTAGAATTTTACTTTTAACTTACAACCAAAGTCTGGAGTTGTGACCTGAATGCTAGCTGCTTGTGCTTCCAGAGGGTCTCATACAGATTTAACCCTTAAAGAATTCTTGAAGGAGCATTACACTATCCTTTCTTATGTGGGGTTAATTGAGAAATACTGGGCCAATGTTTCTCTAAGGACACTGAGATCTGCCTGGAAGAAAGTATGGCCTAAAATTATATAGGCGAGAGACATTGAAGGCAGTTGATGAACTTGAGTTACAACTAGCCCTCAGGAACAAACTGAGTTTGTAAGTCAAGTGTCTACTGTATCTTGATTCTTCTTTTCCCCCTCACTCCTCTCTAGGGGCTTTTAAAATTTTGTCCCACTGATGGACATCTGGAATTTTGAGTATAAAGTGGTACACAGAAACTCTTTTTTGGTCAAGGCTATGTGGGGTTCTATATGCCTCACTTATCTCTATGCTTATTTCCCTGCATTTGGAAAGTTTCCTGCCATTATTTCTGTGAATAGGTTTTTTAAAAATGTCATTTGTGTTATTTTCTAATTTTTCATTTATTCCAGTTATTCTTAGATTGGTCTTTTTTTTCCCCCATCATTAGCAGGATTTTTTTTTTTTTTTTCCGAGACTGGGTCTCACTATGTAGTTCCGAGTGGCCTTGAACTCACAGCAATCCTCCTGCCTTTGCCTCTCAAGTACTGGGATTATAGGTGTGTGCCACCAGGCCCAGCCATATAGCAGTTTTTAGTTTTTCATTTTTATGCTGTTTTGTTTTTAAGGTGTCTTTCACTACTTGGTCTTTGACAGTGCTGGG